TGTAGGGAATAGCAAGGCTTGAGAAGTAAAGGAGGTGGGCAGGAAGAAGAAAAAGAAAAGCAGTACAGGGTTGGGTAGGACAAAACCACAAACCCATTCCCCAACCAAGGCTCTTGGGGATGTGTGCACAGTCAGAAGATAGGATATGGGATTGTGGGAATCATAAACTAAAGAAATGGTGCTGGGTGGAGTAATGAGGAAAAATATCTCAGCTGAGAGACTGAAAGACCTGCATAAAGAAACTCACAGTGGTCATAGAGCTTGTGGCTAGAGTCCAGTCATGCTAGACTCCTTGTGCCCAGCATCTAATCTGTGCCTAGGCTAGGTAATTATAGCTGTTTTTAATACTTTTTTTTTAAAAATTCAGTCACGAGCTATCTCAGACATACAAAGTAGGAGAAAAAATATGTCAGACACTCATTTGTTTGCCTTCCTGACTGAGCATTTTTCAGTAGATTCTTCTTTTATGGCCATTCTTTCCACTTTGTTTTCACTGCTACCACTCGAGCTTTAAGGACTTTTTACCTCATTGTCATTATTAACTTGGTTGCCGGCAACAGTGACTAACATTGATGGAATGCTTACTATGTGCCAGCTGCTAATCTGTGTGCTTTAACAACAACAACAAAAATGATCTCATTTGATCCTCACAATAACCTGTGAAGCAGTATTAGCCGTTTTTCAAATGAGGAAACTGAGGCACAGGAGGTTTAGAAACTTGCCCAAAGTCACCCGGCAATAAATGGCAGAGCTGGGATTCTAGGAGTCCTGCCCAGGCAATCTGGCTCCAAAGCTCATGCCCTTAACAACAGTGCTCTAAGATGAATCTTTCTAAAGTGCCGGTGTGATTAAATCATTCCCACACTGGACTAAAATCTTCCTTGGCTCCTGGGTAAAGACAGGTCTGGGCTATTCATTTATATTATTTATTGAGTGCCTGCTATAGACTAAGTACTATACTGGTTGCTGAGGATTCAGAGTGAAGTAAGGGGATCCCTGCCCTCACGGAGGTCAGAGTTTAGTAAAAGAGACCGAAAACAAGAGTTGCAGATACCGTGAGCTAATTGCTAATGATGAAAAATGTGGTCCCTGTGGGGGGCATTGGTTAATTCTGGGTGAGGGGGTGAAAGTTGGGGGAGGTTTCACAGATTGGTACTAAGCCTTGAGGAGGGCTGGGAAGGATGGTTCAGAGTGGACAAGGATGTGGAGATGTAAAATGGCCTACTGTGAGCTCTGAATAGATTTTGACTGGAGGTTGGCAGGAATTGAACACTGAGTATGGGTTTGAGTTTTTCCAGCTTTTTTGTTTATACACTTCATCAGTGAAAATTTTTGAGAAGCAACCTAATATGGCCTACTAAGATTCTTCATTACACATAGTCTTATTTTTAAAATCCCAGCAGTTCGTAAAAAAATAAGATGGATTGATAGGTGATAAAGCAAATGTAGTAAAAATGGTAGAATCTCAGTCGTGACTTTTCTAACGTTCACTGTAAAATTATTTCAACTTTGCTATATGTTTAAAGTTTTTCTTAATAAAATGTTGGGGGGGAAATTTCCTAGCAGCCCTCTTCAGTCATGAGTACCACCGTTTGTGAAATACATGTCTTGTTCCCCATGCTAGATTATAAACAAACACTTTAATCTTTTCATAGTCTCCATAATAACTTGTATATTTTAGGTGCAGGATACATTTTTTTCCCTGAATGAAAAGGTTAGTGATCTAAGAATGCATTGTAGGAGTGACTTAAAAGTGTGTAGTGTGGCTCTTAACATAGTGGATTTAAGACTGGCTCCAAAAGTGCATGTGTAAAGTATCTGTAGATGTTATCAGTGAGTGAAGTTTTCTCTCCCGGTTCTGGTCAGTGATTGTTGTTGTTGCTGTTGGAGTGATGGAGAACTTCCTGGTTTGTAACACAGACTTGAAAGGTATTGGTTAATAACTCATTGTGGTTTGCCTTTTCAGAGGAATGTTCCACTATCTTGAAGATAGCAGGTTTTCACTTGAATGATCTGCATGCCTACCATATCTTTTGATTGAAATGCTAGTGCTTCAGAGCAAAACCCACTAGTGTTTTTCTCCTCCCCTTGGTTCTGTTCTTGAGACTAGGTCACAGGATGGGCCTTTATTCACAATCTCATTTTCATTTGTGATAGAGAAATAGAGATGGAGGGAGTACATAAAAAGATAAATTGCTGGGCTATCTCTTTAGCTTTAGACAATTTAGGACTTTCCATGAAAATATTCAGGGTATATAACTGGGATGAATTTTGTCATTTGGTTTGTTTCATTTGTACATTCTGCAAACCTTTGTAAGTTATCATTGCCAGTAGCAGAAAAATTAAGTAAAACCACAAATTGCTACCTGATCTCTTCCTAAGGGTCTCACAGCAACCCTAAAGCAGTTTTAGCATGTGGTTTGAAAGATGATGTGGGGTTGTTAATGGGATGAATACTTTGTTTTAATGGTTAAATATATATATTAGAAAAAAAGATAACGCATGAAACCCGCAGTTTCACAGCTATAACTCTTTAGAACGAGGCCAATTAAAAAAGTAAGTTGGGGCTTCCCTGGTGGCTCAGTGTTTGAGAGTCCGCCTGCCGATGCAGGGGACACGGGTTCGTGCCCCGGTCCGGGAAGATCCCACATGCCGCGGAGCGGCTAGGCCCGTGAGCCGTGGCTGCTGAGCCTGCGCGTCTGGAGCCTGTGCTCCACAACGGGAGAGGCCACAACAGTGAGAGGCCCGCGTACCGCAAAAAAAAAAAAAAAGAAAGAAGTAAGTTGATTTAAAGAAAAGTATTAAGGTTCAGTACTTGGATGTGGCAGAAATCATATTGATGGTAAATGAATAAGCAAAGTTTGAGAAGGCTGACCAACAGCTGATGCCATTTTGTGCTTTCGTTCTCTAGAATACAGTATAGCAGTGGCTGCTGTGCCTCCTGATTATTTACTTATCCTCAGTCACTGACACATCCTGAAACGTTAGTAACTCTTCTAGATGCTCTAGTGGTAGGAAAAATTATCATAATAGTAATTAGGTCTTCTTCTTGAGCACCAAGTTGTATATAAAGTGCTTTTTAAATAGCTTGTTTAATCCTCATAAGCTTGCAAGAATGCATGATATTCTTCCCATTTAACAGTTGAATAACAGGTGCAAAGAAGTGAAATGATTTTTCTTTGGTCTGGACACTAGTAAATGGTGGGTAAAAATCTGTTCTGGATCTGTATTGCTCAAAGTCTCTTTCCACAGTTTCACCACACAGTTTCCTTTCTGTACATTCTTGTATAAGATTGTATACTTTTACTGGCCAGATAATATGCATAGATGCATGAAGAAAAATAATAATAAGTAGATTTATTGAGCACTTAGTTTGTGCCAGCATTGCTAAATGTACAATACTGCCAGTACAAGGCAAATGTGTAAGCTCAGTGCCAAGTGAGTGAGTCATATAGTGATATTATAGGAATTCAAAAGCAGCAATCTCTTTCTTCTCTGCATTTTAAGTCTCTCCCTCTCTGGTTTCTTTCACTTATAAGTACGTAAGCGTATACAAATAACCTTTAAAAAACAAAAACTTCCCCTTTACTTTGTAATTTCCTTAAGCCATTATCCTTATCCTGTTCTTTCCTTTTAACCATTATTCTTGAAAAAAGAAGACTGTATTAATTCCTATTCCCTAGCCTATTGCCACTTGATATGTGATGTCACCATTCTGAAGGCACCAAAACTATTTCCATTCTTACCCTTTATTGGTCCTCTATGAGATAATTAACATGAGCCATCCTTTCCTTGAATTTCCTTTC